CGAACAAGATGGGTTTAATAACTGATCAAAATTTTAATTGTGAGCTGACAAATGAAGCGTCCTTTAAATGATCTTCAAGATTCAGATGGTTTAGAAATGAGCTGAAATTTTATCTGAGATCTGCAAGTTTTAACTGATAGCCGAGAAATCGCCAAAAATTGAACTGATAACTGATTCCTACAATACTGGCTCCCATGCAGACTCTCTCTTAAACGCGAGACTTTACACTGAACCGCAACCCTTGCGCGGAATAAACTGTTAGCAAAGTACCTGACAGACAAAACCTCTTTGCCGTTTTAGAGTCAGAAGGCGGTTTTCAGTGCAGGTTCAACTGTACAACGTAAGAGCAAATATAAACATGCACTCATGCGATTAACATGATGTCATTATGATATGGCATTTGTATTAACGCTGCTGATCAATATTGTAAATAGCAGGACTTATGGCGACTTGCGGTCACAGCACACAGAGCGGCAGTGGGCACAAGAAAACAGCTGGCTAAAATCTAAGGAAAAAGCTTCGTGAATAGAAATACCTCAGCAGTGATAGCGAGATTGATCTTATAGATCTTAATAGATATAGGCATAGCGGCGATGTACATGGTTAGCAAATGAAACAGCTAAAAGAACAATTAATTTAACTCATATTATAGTCACGTCAATGTATCTCAGTCAGGATCTTACCTAAGTTCTCTTATCTCCTGTCAAACGCGCCGATCACGCCCAAGTCTACAAAAGGTGATATTTCTTTGTACAAAAATTAGATCAACAACGAAATCATTCAACGATCCTCTGAATGGATTTTGCTTCCATTCGCTGTTTCTTTACAAACGTAGCAATGCATAATGACATTGTAATCGTGTTTAATTGGTCGATACCGGGATAATTTAATTGGGTTTTAACTAACTATATACCTAAATGTCTTCCCTTATTGTATAAAGCACTATACCTCGTCGTGTGGTTTATTTCAGCTGCCACAGATACGATTTCGTGTTGCTTCTTGCTTGACTGCGCTGAACCGTCACGCGGCGGCCGGTGGAACTGCATGCAAATTGCTGCGTAATTGCAGCGTAAACAATTCGTGACTTGGCATAGCAAGTGACAAGTGGCACGTCATTATATCGAACGACGATATGGTTCAGCGGACCACACAGGCTTGCCGTATGCACCTGTGTCTGCCTGCGGGGCAGTCTGAAAATAACTCATCAATTACAGTACTATAACAGGTTGATCCTGTTTGCGATGACTCGGCTTCTCTTCGCGGTACTGAAATACACCTTAGTAACTGTAAAACGGTGATATTCAGTCTCTTTGAAAACGTCCTATTTCATGGGAATGAATTCGCTTTAAAGCCGTTTATTTTAACAGCATTTAGAAAAGAATTCGTTTTATTTAAGGATGGTTGTTGTACTTGTCAAGATTTGTGTCCAAAAATGCGGGTACTAGCAAGGTAAAGGCTGGTTTTCAGCCAGCTCACACGTCTTCAAAGGGTCTTCAAACTGCACTCAAGCTTGACATCAACCAACAGTAAAGATATGAGCCAAAAGTGAACTATGTAGTTAGAATTGCAAGATAAAGAGGGTATATTTTGAGACTAAGTCGCCAAAAACCAAAGAAAACAAAGAAAACAAAAAACCAAACAAAAGTAAAAAATAAAGAAGGCCGGCGCGGGTGTCAGCCTGTCCAACATTTCTTCATTTTTTTTTTGCATTCAACTCCAGCTTAATTAAACTTGCTTTTAATATTGTACCTAAACAAAATGGCTTGGCGCACTGCCTAGAGACCTTAAGACCACTCGTGTAAAAAACAGGAACGCATGAACCTACTTGTGTATGTAGAATCGCACGCTCTGAGAATCAAAAGGCCCTTTTGGCTTGCCTTGTGACACCTGTTTTAGAGCGAGGAGAAATCCGCTGCTAAACCTAACAAAATAATGTAAAATGGAAGCGTAACGCTAGATAAAGCAAACCGCCAGGAGCGCATTTTACCTTCCGGGTTTTTTTTAGGAATATTCTATCCGATTCGATTTGGCCTGATCTGACCCTTATTGACAATTAATTCTTGTGATTTATACCTGTTTGCTTATTCTCGGAAAGTGTGCATTACATGATAGCATTGATGATAGTTTTTATGCAGGTCACTGTGATCTCTTGACTTTTCTGATGTGAGGGTTACATTTAGTTTTCTGGGACTTCAGTATTTACGACCCGTTATGATCAAAACAGATTGTCCCGCAGGTTACTTAGAATTCCATCTCAGGAACGTTGACGTGGCTCTTTGTCAAAGCCAACTTAAAGCTTTAACCTGTTGTTACTTGCTTTATTTCACGGATAGAAATAATGCTAGTCAATGTTATCAGGGCATGAGACCGGTCTGATGCCCTGATCTGACCCATGTTGATATATACAGCGAGACATTGATCATACAGATAATATTAACAATAATTTTTTGTGATTTATACCTGTTTGTTTATTCGCAGAAAATACGTATTAATTGTTAGCAAGAGACCATTTTCATTGTGATCTTTAGATTTGAGATTTGTCTGTGTCTGAAACCCGTCACTTCAACGTTTTAGCCTGCCACTTGTTGCCAAAATTAATTAAATCGCGAGCGAGTTGTGTGAACCTTGGGCTAGAACACTAACAAAAACAGTCTGTCACAAATGATTGAGTCCAAGGTCTACATGCCAGTCCCAGTAAAAAAAGGAATAAAGAGAGTGTCTTGAATCTGTACAGTGTGGTGGCCACTGAAAATCAATAGCACAAACTGCCGTTAATTCAACGTTTCTTGCCTGTCTTTCGAAACAAAATTGAAAACCCGCGAGTTTCCTCAACCGCCCTTTTCAGGAATCTTACATCAGGAACGCAAATAACGGTTACAATGCAGCAAGGCCCAGGTCTTCTTCGTGCCCACTTGGTCACGTGCACACGAGACAAAAAATGCTCGGGTAAAAAAAGAAAAAAGAAGAAAAAATCCACAAACAAATATAAAACGATTGAAAACTGAAATGAGAACTGAAAAGGGTCTGTTTCAAATACCCTTTTGAAACATGATCACTCTTCCGCTATCAGCTGATCACGTTAAAACAACTGGTCACAACATCAAATGGGAACATTTTGACATTTTGGCGTCCGGGAAGACTGACTATCACTGTAAGGTTAAGGAGACCTTGTTTATTCAAGAGTTGCAGCCAGCACTGAATGCCAATGTCAGCAGTTAAAAGCTTTTACTCTATTAAGAAAGCTTTTCCATTGTGTCTCTTTACAGATCTTTACAGACAGTTTCCGTTTGAAACGTCTTAAGAGGCTGTCTCTGATTTTACTTCGAAAATTCGACTTTTTTCTCATAAGCTGGGATTTCGAAACCCTTACCTAGTCAATCACTAAAATGAGTTTTATTTGATTAAAAATTCAAATTGAAGTTTTCTAGGATTGATTGAAGTTCGGTCACATATTGCCAGCGCTCTAAAAAAATATTCGCTCAAAAGTCCCAATCCTTTTTTCAACTATAGATATATCATAGCAGTTTGTTTAGCCATGTTACAATTATAATTCAATGCTGTTTCCTTCAACGGTTAAAAGAAGATTTTCTACCCGTTAAATCGAGTTTTGAACTAAACGCGAAAATAGCTCTACTTTGAAGACACGTTTTAAAAAAGTGGCACCTGTTTGAAACTGCTGAACTACATGAATAGAAAGTATAAATGTCCCTTAACTTAAAACAATAAAAAAATTTGTCTGCCCAGTAGGATTTCAAAACTAACGACCGCTTAAAGTTCAGGAAATTTTGGTAATATTCCAGCGAGTAACTAACACACTCGCTTTCGTAAAGTGCTCCGATAAATTCACGTAAGTCTCTTACCTGGCTTCAAGATTAAAGTTTTGGTCTTTTGTAGGCAATATGTGCTATTTTTCCAGTTTCGGCAGGCATGCAACTTGTGTCGAGCGGACCGAACTTCAATCAATCCTAGAAAACTTCAATTAGAATTTTTAATCAAATAAAACTCATTTTATTGATTGACTAGGTAAAGGCTTCGAAATCCCACCTTATGAGAAAAATCGAATTTTCGAAGTAAAATCAGTGGTCAGTTTTTTCAGAGACAGCCTCTTGAATTTCTACTGCAGATGTTTTCTGTCTAGGTTCCAGACCCCCATTGATACAATATAAATAGCTTTCCAAAAAAATTTCAACGGTTATACTCATGAAAATGTATGTTGACTAGCATACGAAACGCCAAGTTTATAAAATGCATGTTTTCAAAATGTTTATCATCGCTGTTTGTTTTATATTTTTAATGAATAAGGATTATTTGGGATGAAGCTGAAATGGAACACACCCAACGGTCCAGCTGTCTGCTCAACGCCGGCTAAATATTCACTTTTCCTCCTACATAATACCACATTTATTCAATATTACCCAATTTAATACCTTATCTTCGGTGACAGTTTAGATGACGCGTGAACGGCAAATTGCTCACCAGGTCTTAAGATTGCAGTACAAGATCGAGTAGGACTTTTCAATTCTAGTTTGCAGGCTCAATATTATCACATCACAAACCCTCTCGACCTAAATCCAACAGGAAGAGCGAGGGTTCTGGAAACTTCACTGCTTTAAATTTCGAAAATTGTCTTCGTAATCAATCTCGTACTCGTAGTCCAATCTTAGGGTCTCTTGCGTTGAAATTATTACGAACGTAACAAACGCGCTCGCCTGCGAAGGAAGCGTCCTCGTACTTACCCTCCCCCGATCCACTTGTTCTTTGACTTTGTGTTTTCGCCCAGGTTTTCACGCGACCAGGAGGCGACTCTTTGCCCGTATGGGAACGCTCGCTCCGTAGGCTACAAACGCGCGCATGTAAATAAAGGTTGACAACTGGAGGACTTTAATTCCTGCCCCTGTCATCACAATCTGAGCGCACAGACAACAAACGAAAACAAAGCAAACAAACAAACAAACAAACAAACAAACAAACAAACAAACAAACAAACAAACAAACACGTGTGCAAATCAAACCAAGGAAAAAAATGTATTTACTAAATCATGCTTTAATAGCGAATCAAAAAGACCATATTTGTGATTAAACTTTATTGGATCAATACAAACAGCGGATATTTCAAGTAGGCTATTTAAGCCCTGCTACTACATGTAATACTGCATGTAAGAAATCCAGCTTAATCAAAAGTTCTTGGAATGTACTTTTGAAATAGCAAACAGGACTTCCATGAAACAAACACACTCAGACAGATTTTCCAGGACGTTTTGAGTGCACAAGCATAAAAAGTAGTTTGAGAGAAATTTCATACTTTTTCATGTTTGTCCTATTGGTCAATACTGAACATGTAAATAATTATTAATCAATGTGCTACAATGCATGCCCACTGAATAAAAGTCTACCTTTGAACTTATTATTTTTACTACATATACAAACAAAAGTTCTGATTTCAGGCCTAAGGCCACCCTAAATCTCTGACATTTTCTAACTCAGTAAACTGTTACCTGGCTCCCATTCCTCATGAGAAAAAAAAATAATATGGGGTCAGAGATTGGAGGAAGTAGAGGGTTGGATAATACTCAAGACAGATCACAGATATACAAAAGCCAAATCTGAGAGACAAATGTTTTTTTGTTTATGCCTGCAAGACTGGCCCTGCTTTCTTTGCCTCCAACTGCACCCCTGATCCAGCATACCCTGTTCCTCCACGCTGCAGTGGGATGATATCACTGTCTTTCAACTTAGCGCCAGTAAATGGGCATAACATGTCTTTCTTGATCAACTTTTCAATGCAGTCCATGGTCACCACACGACCAGTGTTCTTTAAAACAGCACAAGGAACAGAATTGCCGAGTACATCATGGGTAACTGCACATTTGTATCTCTCTGACTTTGCTACCATTGGCTGATCATCTTTGTCATCAATTGCAGTTAGTTTGACAGGAATAAGATCTTTAATTCTTAAGGGCTTCCCACTCATTGGACAGTATGTCTTGGTATCTGGCTTCTTTAGGAGTGTGGGCTTTGCCTGTGGTGTCAAGGATGGGACCCAAAAACTTGCAAGATTTTTATTGTTGCCATCAGAGTTCACTGCAGCTACATGTAAATGGAATAAAAAAAGTTATATTTCTTATAATAGCAATAATAACACAACAACAACAACAACAACAACAACAACAACAACAATAATAATAATAATAATAATAATAATAATAATAATAATAATACCACTACAGTGTGTATGTGAAGCATCAATGTCATTGTTTGTTGACTCAGGATTGGGAGGAGTACACTACAGTGTAAATGGTATGAGCCAAGAACTTATTTTTAAATTGGGCAACTTTTACTCTGGCCATGTTGAAATATTGTTGCAGGTTTGAATGGATAGAAATTGGGGGAGAGGGGTGGTGGGGGGTGGTGTTATTCATACTATGATCAGTGACCTGAGTTGATCTGGCCAGAATTTTGTCCCTGTCTCAAGTTAAGGAGGTCCAAAGACAGCAGAAAAGCCACCCATAATACTGACTGCATTTCAATACGGTATAAATGAAACATACACTTGCAGAATTAACAAGTATGTTCTTCTCGATGGCACTCACCACTTGATGTAGATGGCTGTTGTTCATCCATGACAACAGAAGGTCCAGCGACATTCTTTGTTACGGTGAACGCACTTGTTGGCTTTGTGGTGATACGTTTCTCCATGCTCACAAACGACTCCACCTTGGAACGCTCTTTTTCTTCCACTTTGCCCGCTTTTTCAGCTTCTTGCTTCTTCTTTTGCTTTTCAAAAGCTTTCATCTGCCTCGCTGCTTCAGTTTTCTGATGCAACAAACACTCTAAAATCGCTTCCCTGTCGTACAAGAACCCGTCTGGTGTCACAACAGGTTCGCGACAAGGCTGGAGAGTTAAAGAACAACAGTCAAAGTTCTTTACAGAATCTTTGCCCAAACGCACGGCTTTACTACCATAACCAGACTTTTGGGTATCTTTTTGCCGCTCGTGATACGTATAGACTGTTCCTGCAGTACAATTTTTGGCGTGTCTAGTCATGGTTCCTAGTGTTTCGAAGAACTACGTAGTTCGAAGGAAGACTTCTTCTCAGACAAAACAAAGATGGCGACCTTTCATGCTGGCCGGGCTACCAAGGTCATCACGTTTCCGGCCGGGCTACTAAGCGTTTTCTTTTGAGAAGAGCGGGGTAGGGAATTTACCAATAAGAAATAATGGAGAAGTCTTTATTAATTTTTCGACACAAAGATTGCTACTAATTGAGCTTAACTATTATTTGAAACCTTTCTGTTCCCTTTTTATCAGAATATTATGCGAATCATTCGGTGAAACAACTTTATAGGGACTTCCATGCCCCCACCCCGCCCCCGCTTAGACTCCAAACCCGCTCATGACTCGCCACAGTTCAAAATGGCTTCAAGAAGGTTGTTCCATGTTGCACGTGGATTATGTGGCTTGCGATCAGCACCGTTAACTCGGACTTCCAATCTTGCTCGAGCGTATAGCTCAGGTGAGTTTAGTCTCTGTTCTTCTGAGATCATGTCTTGCCTGAAGAATCTGCTATATATATTTCATCCATTTCATGTGACCCAAGGTCGAAAATTACGTTCAAGAGACTCCCCTTCCATGGTTTCTTTCAACCTTTACTGACACTATTAAACATGTTGTAAAAATCTATACATATTGTTAAAAAGAACTGTTCAAGGGTAGCCTAAAACCAAGTTTATGTCAAATCGCAAATTAAAGCTGCGCAAAATGGGGGACTGGAAACAGATGATTCAGATACTTGGGGCGAGTTTGTGTCCCCAGCACACGAACGTCGAGAAAATGCCTCAGCTGTGTATAACCATCGATGACAGCTTGAATAAGCTGCACATTTTCAGCCAATGTTAACAGAGATATGAGTACGGTGTAAATAATGATCTATACCTGGGATGATTTGGAAGGGGTGGGGGTGGGTGTGCAGTGGTGCTGATGAGGGGCTCCCATAAAAAGGGACAGGGGTGAACGTCGGAAAGGAACCCTTAAAAGTTAACTGCATGCTGTGTGGTGAACGTGATGCAAATACATTCTCATCCCAAAATTACAGTTTTACAGTTCTTAAACAAAACTTCTTTTTAAAAATATTGAAGGACCGTAGCCAGGGTTGAGCATAATAAAAATTTAAAAAACAATCTCTGGCTAAAAATGTTTACAGACATACAAGCTTTCGACTGTTAGATCTACTGTCTTCGACGGGTAAAGATGAATGACGAAATATTAATATAAATGAGTAAAAATAAAAAGAATGAACCATGTAAATTAATTAGGAATGTGTGTAAAAAGAATGTTGTACTGCCCAGGGAGTGGGCAGGAATTGTTGACAGCATTTGGAGTCACCATAGNTAACCTGTTTGATGACTATGGGTTATGTAATACATTTAATACATATATGACTGGATTTATGAAAACCGTGGCAAGACTTTGCACTAAAACAGCCATGTGCACTTTGATTAAACGACTCCAAAAGGCCTTAAAATCACTGCAAACGATGAAAACAAAAACATAGACAGAGGAGAGCAAGAAAAGGAAGATAAGAGAGACAGAGAGAAAGAGAAAACGAAGACTGACATTTCTTTTAATTTTTATATCGTCTACTTTGGAGAAAGTCAATGGCGAGAGAAAACGCTAAAGCAGGGGCCATTTCTGTAACACTGTTTTCATAAATCCAGACATTACATAACAAAAATAATATAATAATAATAATAATAACAATGATAATAATATATTTTTAATAATAACAATAATAATAACAATAATAATAATAATAATAATAATAATAATATTTTTTTAAATATTGAAGGACCGTAGCCAGGGTGGAGCATAATAAAAAATTAAAAAATTTAAAAACGATCTCTGGCTAAAGATGTTTATAGATATACGAGCTTTCGAATGTTAGATCTACAGTCTTCGACGGGTAAAGATGAATGACGAAATATGAATAGAAATGAGTAAAAATGAAAAGATTGGACTATGTAAATTAATTATGAATGTGTGTAAAAATAATGTTGTCTTGCGCAGGGAGTGGGCAGGAATTGTTGACAGCATTTGGAGTCACCATAGTATGCCACGATTCTAATGTTTTCCTTATTCGGAAACTGCCTTTGTCAATTAAGAAGGCGTTGTTAAAGTCAATAGAATGTTCATGGGACCACGCATGGTTCGCAATTTTGGAGCCTTTAGCCGCTGTTTTGATATTTCTTAGGTGTTCTTTTCTTCGGGTGTTAAACGCTCTGCCAGTTTCACCGATATAACTCCATGAACAGTCGGCGCAAGGAATTTTGTAAACAACGTTTGTTTGTGAATCCGGAGCAGGACGAAATTTCGGGGCCGAGAACTGTTGTTGTAGAGTGGTCATCGACTTATTTATGACCGAAATATCATGTTTTTTTAGGACGCGGGTAAAGAGCTCAGTTACACCTTTGATGTATGGATGAGACGCGAAAGACTTGCGTGACTCGGAAGGTTCAACCAAATTAAAAAACATTCCGACAAGTTCCTCAGGGGGTAAATTTGGCGATGGTTGAGTTTTCTTGGTTTGTATATCACGGATAAATTTGGACGGATAGCCATTAGACTCCAACGCTACGTAAACATGATTGAGTCCTTGTTCTTTCCCTTCAGATGTGTTAGGTAGATTTAACGCTCTATACAAGAGGGTTGCTGCATTCATAATTAATTTACATAGTCCATTCCTTTTATTTTTACTCATTTATATTCATATTTCGTCATTCATCTTTACTCGTCGAAGACTGTAGATCTAACAGTCGAGAGCTCGTATATCTATAAACATCTTTAGCCAGAGATCGTTTCTAAATTTTTATTATAATTTTTGTGTTTTCATCTTTAATACAATTACTAATTAATAATAATGGTAATAATAATATTAATCATCATCATCACCATCATAATAATGATAGCAATAATAATACATTTACAGGGAATACATGACCTTGGATATTTTAAAACTATTCCCCTAGTAGCAACTTTTATGGTCAGTATTACCAGAGAAGAGAATTTACCAAGACTATTATTCCAGTCACCTAAGTAGAGAAATAATATAGAATTCAAAGAAACAGAAAACTGCTTGCACATGACTCAAACAGATTCCACTCTTTTGATGGCGTAACTTCAGTTGTTAAATATTTTCAAAAAACGTGATTTAATTCCTTCAACTTAATGAGTTTATTTTTCTCTCTTTCAGAGGACTGAAACAGAACCAAATCAAGGATATATCTCGGCTGGGTAGTTCTTCGATAAAAGAACTTTATCAAATGTAAGAAAAATCAAATGCATGTTTATTACTCTCTGACTGTAACAATTTTCGTCTTTATGTACTTATTACGTCCATTTTAAAATCACTGGCGATCCTTGCAATCTGATTGGCTCTCAGCAGTATGATTTATCCACAAATCGCACTCTTTCTTTCTCTAAACCGCATCCTCCTTTCGCTTTGTCTGCAAAATGAGATGTCAAAGCGTTTCCGGTTCTGCTTTTTAATGAAAGGGCTACCAGATCAATAAAATATTGATACTGACCAAAATCCTGTATTTAGCTAATAAAATTGTGTGATTTCAGAATGTTATCAAGTGGCCATTCAGAACTTCGTGTTGCGCAATTTTGGCTGAAATCATATTTGTGATTTAAAATTGAATAAGCGCTACGCACTTGTTCGATTTTGAAATAACGCGTATGATTTCAGAGAAAATTGCTCTCCACCCAGTTCAATTAGCACTATAAATCAGTCCTACAATTGGAGTATTATATCTCTCTTTTAACTTGGAAAATCCAAGTTGTAGGTATGGATGAGAGATTCACTCCTTGGCTCCTTCGCTTCCTGTTAGACTTTTGACGAATCCCCTGACCAATGTATAAGGCTTTCACAGTCGTAGAGAAGTTCAAGTTAATTCGACGTTTGCATTTCTTACGCAAGTACTCAATATCTCACCCCAGAAGTAATCTACATTGAGAAGATCTTCGTACGTCTCTAAAAATAGAAGCTAATACTAGCGCTTTCCCTGACGGTGTCCGCTAATACNGGCCTTCACTTTGAGAAAAGAATGTTCCACTCGACGTTCTCTACGGTGAGTGGTGATTGACTTGTGTCTGCTTTACAGGAACCGCTGGCCACAACTTACTTAGTTTCCTATCGTGGCGAATTGAATGGCAGGCTTCCATAATTGTAGTCATCTGTGGAATATAAAGAAAATACAGTTTTCCGCTCCCAACTGAATGTATCAAAGCTTCATAGCTCAATTGGTAGAGCAACGCCACGGCGTCGCCGAGGTCATGGGTTAGAATCCACTGCGAATATCTTGTCATTCATTTCTCTGTTTTCGTTTTTTTTTTTTTTTGCCAGGACGATCGCAAAGAAGGAATGGACGCTTTCGTGGAGAAACGCAAAGCCAAATTCACCGACAACTAATGCTGTGTCGCTCCGTTCTTGTACACATAGATCACCGAGTAAGCACTGTGCCCGGCGTTGTATTGGAGGTCTGGGGAGAACAGATTCAGTTCACAGAACAAGAGAAATAAAAAACGACCGATGTAACGTGATATGCATACTGCAGTAATAAAAATGAGCCATCCTGTATTTTTCAGTAATAAATTAGTGTGTGTTGTAAAGCAATTGCTATCCAATACTTTGTTTTGTTCTGTTATTGTAGGCTGAATAATAATCAATAATAGTATTTGTAATCGTGTTTGACCGCGTGTTTGACCGCGTGTTTGATGAAATGTGAAAGACGTCAAACATTTGATCGAACATTGAAAACACTTTTGTTCGTTTGGACGGTGATCAAACATGTTTGATATCGTTTGGCCACTCTGTGCAACATCAACATATTTGGTCCCCAAACAATGGTCGCCCAACATTTCCCGTTTGAACAGCGCTTTACACTTGCTAGACCCTAAGCGCATGCATTTCATGTACATCCGTGCAACATATTTTGCAATTTTCAGTCTTAAAAGATCAATCTCGTCATGATAAAGAAGAATTGCAGTGGCTTTTTTATGTTCATTAACTGCGCTTAAATGACTAACTTGACATGGCAGGATTGAACAAGGTGTCCAAACCGGAAAATGTTTGGTCATCAGACTATGCTGGATCGTGTTTGATCGCCAAACATTTCCCATTTGGACAGGGGCTTTACACTGCCTGTACTAGTAAAGTTTTTATATTTTTTGGAATGTTCAAAACTTCTGCGAATGCCTAAAATCTATCGGTAACTGGTTTGATTTGCTGAAATTTCCAGGAGAAAGGGGGGTGGGGGGAAGGGGGAATGGGTGTTGGAACAGTATTTTCCGCAATTTCCAGAAAATAGGACAATACAAACTTGCGAGGTATAACCTAATCATTACCTGGAATTTCCGTTCCATTTGATTTTCTTCCCGGAATTTCGAGAATTTTAGTTTGAATAGTCCGAATTTCGGAAATCCAACAATTTTCGGATTTTCCCAAAACTCTTCCGGGAAATTTCCGAGTTCGGGGTTTGAGTGGAAAGCCCCCTAGGGTTGAATTAGTGAACTGATATCTTAGTGTAAGAACCTAGCCAATCAAATGATATCCGCAGAGACACCTGCATAACACTTTTTTCCTCGCGCCAGGGCCCCACGGGCTAGGAGGCCGAGGTACAAGGGAATGAGGACGAAGAATAATTATCATTTAGTTATAGAAAATACAGCTTATCTTCTGGATGTATGTGATAGGCTATATTGTTGCTTTGGTAACCAGTTATTCCATGAAAATGATTGTCGCCACCAACTGGGCATTGTTTTTTATGCCATTGTTTGAACATGAACTAGTATCCGGATTGAACTTTGCCAAGAACAGTTTTATTTGTTTTTCAACTAGTGTTTCTGGTTACGAAGAAAATCCTCCGAAACAGAAAACTTGCAACAATTTGTACGCCAAGTAAGCTTTCAAAGAAAAAAAAGTAACTTTCATTCACATGAAATTAAACTGATACAAGGAATCCTGTGGAACAGAAATTTTTGCCAGCTGCAATGCATTCACATACTGTGGGAAAAAATTCATCACTTTTCATTGTTTTTAAACAATATATAATACGTCTCATCCTTTATGAAACGAAAACTAAACTGGTGTCCACTGTGGCTTTTTTCATGTGTTGCTTAACTTGCGTAAACCACTCTGGTTGTATGTTATTTAATTAAAATAGTTTAGAGTTCGTATTATGAAAACGCTACGGGATTTGGTAAGTCATGAGAATAAAATAATGCTTGAGTGGTAAAGAAACCTTTGTGCAATTGATAGCAGTATTCCTTTGTTGCTCACATTGATCAATGAATGTGTACGGTAATTAAATATTAATTAACATTAAATTTAATCAGTTCAATTTTTATGAATAACCGTATTATTTT